ACAAAAGCCGAGCTGTTAACTCCAAACCCATATTGCAATAACCCCATAACCTTTAAAAAAGCCATAACTCACACAAAAAAAATTCGGGTCTAGGGATCAGACCATGTTTTCAATATGTTTACAAATGCTTTTGTGTTTAAAGTTACAGGCTTATATGCATCAAAATGTGCTGAAAAGCCTAAATTATTGTGTTTTTGAGGTTACAGCAAAACACTGATATAATGGGGTTAAACGGACCCCGGATTTGAATTCAGAGACCCCAAAAACATATAGAAAACACGGTCTGATCCCCAGACTCGAAAAACATTTTTTTTGTGTGGCTGTTATCTTTCTCAAAAAATAAACTTCATGGTACTCTCATATAGAGTGTTATTGAAATAAATGTACATATTCTCTCATTTCTAATTAGGTATTATTATAAGATTGTTTGTTTATAACTATAGTCTATTTTTATGTATGAGAAAGTATTAAAATAATAAAGCGTTCGTAATCCATAGGCGTACCACTTCTTTTAGTAGACAGTTAAAATATTTTTTGAAGTTATTCCTCGAGTATACACTTATATTTTCACCTAATTAACCTGCTTATAACTTCTAAACAGCTGAAGGTAAAAAAGTGCAATTTTTTCTAAAATGTTTTATTTTTCCACAAGGTGTGTTAAGAACATTGTGTCAAACGAGTTATGTAGGTATAAGGGTTTAAACTTTTAAACAACGTTACGTTCATAAATAATCATTTTAATATAAAAACTACTTCTTACCTACAAGTCCAAATCAGAATCGAAATCAGAAGATGAACTGTCGCAACCAATATTTACAATGAGTGGCTCGATCATTTCATCAGTAATATTGTCCAACTTCCACATTTTCTCTTCTTCTTTAATCGTATGATTTACTGCCTTTTCCCAGTTTTCAGGCTTCACATTATTTGCAGCCTCCAAAAACAACTGTTTAACATCACTCATTTTAAAAGAATTATTTTTTCTTGAAACTTCTCCCTTTATCTGTGCCCATATCAGTTCAATCGGGTTTACTTCGCAATGATATAATAATAATAATAATAAATGCTTTTATTGGCCAAACTAAGTACCTAATACAAAGAAAGAAAAAAAAATATATATAAATACAAATAGTTTGCCAAATGGCAGAGTTCAAAATCTCTTCCACTCAACCAGTATTATGATAGACATACCTATACATCTTTCGATGTATAGATGTGCCCTGCATGTTTACTTAATAATTATTCAATCTAGCGCACAATATGGCTTTACGAATATGAGAGAAAAAAATATTGAAAATCCAAAACCGTAAACAACTTAACATCTTAACTTTAAAAATAAAAAAATAAAAATCAGCCAGATGAGTAAGAACCAGTAAGTATATCAATAATAACATTACAATAATACTATAATATAATAAAAACGAATATAAAATTTAATTTTATCTAAAAACTATAACTATCGACCTACAGAATTTATTAGTAATTTTCTATCTAGCATTACATTTTTTAATTTATACTTGAATAATATATGATCTGTGAATAATTTCAAGTCATCGGGTAACCAGTTGTACAACTTAACAATGTTATAAGAAAAGCAGCCTTCAAACAAAACTGATTTATGTTTTGGCATAGTTAGACAACCTCTATTCCTTAAATTTAAATTATGGACGTCCGTCTGAATCGAATTTTACTATATAAATAAGCTGGTGTTTCAGTAACTATAATTTTGTGATAAAGTAAGCATTCATGTAAAACTCGTCGTTCTGCTAAATTTAACCACTTCAATTCCTTTAAATATTTTGAAGTTGGTGTGCACCTTCTCAAACTATAAATAAGCCGAATACAACAATTTTGTACTCGCTGTAATCTTAATTGATCCCTTTTCAAAAGTCCAGGCCCAAATACTACATCCCCATAATTTAAGTGGGATAACACGAGTGCTTCACAAAGCATGATTTTTGTTTTTTTAGTTAATACACCCCTGCTACCATATATTAGTTTTAGATTAGCAAAAGCTCTTCGAAGCATCATTGTGACATGAGATGTAAAACGTAGATCGGAGTCAACCATCAAGCCTAGGTTTTTGACAGAGTTTACGATATTTAGCTCATCTCTTCCTACATTTATTTTTAATTTTCCGATACATCTATTTCTAAGAGCGCTTTTTCCAAAAAGTATGGCTACTGATTTAGTGCTATTAATTGAAAGACAAAATTTATTTGACATATTAATGAGAGACTCAATATCTTGATTGATCTGTTGGCAAGCAATATCGATGTTTTCCTCAGAAAATGTATGATACAATTGTGTATCGTCAGCATAAAAATGAGACGAGCAGAAATTTAGTTTTTTATAAAAATCTAATGTATAGATTATAAATAAAATAGGACCTAAAATGGATCCTTGCGGCAGGCACTCCATTGTTTACTTGTGAAAACACAGAAGAAGACGAGTTATAAATTACAGCTTGTTGACGATTACTCAAATAATTACGAAATAAATTAACACTATTATTATCACAACCTATGTAATGCAAAATTGATAAGAGTAATTGGTGATTTATTCGATCAAAAGCTTTCGAATAATCTAACAAAATTAACGCGACCATTTTATTTTCATCCAAAGCATTATGAATATCATCAGTAACTTTTAACAAAGCTGTAGTACAACTGTGCAAATATCTGTAACCGGACTGATGAGGAGGTAAAATATTATTGGTGTTCAAAAAAGATATTAGTTGTCTATTGATTATTTTTTCAAAAGCTTTAGAAATTGCGCATAAAATACTAATTGGTCTCAGATCTTTAGGACTACTGGGATTTGACATTTTTGTCAATGGGATTACAAGAGCACGTTTCCACATAGCAGGGTAAACATTCATATGGTGATGATCTAAACACCGTCATCCCACGATTCATCAATTTCATATTTTTTGAATTTCTCTTTATGAAGGGAACACAAATGATACAGTTCTTTTCTCACAGAATCGGGATGGAACTTAATATTCTTTGAATTTAGCCAATTCTGTAAATCTTTTTTTAACCACTTGGTTGTGGGCATTTTTTCTATAAGTCTCGAGTGATAACTTGCATTATCCATTACTATTATACAGTTCTGAGGAAGATCTATAATTTGTTCGAACCACTCTTTAAAGACATCAGCATTCATGTCCTCATGGTAGTCACCGGTACGAGTAGATTCAAAAGTCAATAGACCACCTTTAACAAAACCGTTTGAACTACCCATGTGTACTATTATTAGTCTGCGCCCCTTTCCTGATGGTGGATTTAAACCAGTAGATAAATTATTTAAAAAAGCCTGCCTTCGACTTGTAACAGTTTCATCTTGCCAAAATATATTTGGTTTATGTCCCTCGTTGATCCATGTTTCATCTAAATAAAATATATTTCCTTTGGTTTCTCATTTCTTTTATAGTCCTTAGGTAATTTCTTCTCCATACTACAATATCGCTTCTTTCTATTAAAATAGACTTTCTGGAATGCTTTTTCCATAGAAAACCTATTTCTTTTAAAAGTTTCCATAGTGTGCTTCGACTCATTTCAGGGTAATCCTTATCATCTCGAACCGTGGCAAGAACTTTGTCTACTGTCGGAAATTCTTTTCTAAAGAAGAACGAATGCATTTTCCTTCGAAGTCTTTCTTTCAAAAGATTTTCTAATTGAAATTTTGGTTTTCCTGGAGCTTTACGTGCTGTTTGAAACTCGCCACATTTCTCTTCTTTAACAACTCTGTAAATCGTAGATTTCCCAACACCAAGCGTACTATTAATTCCACTGTGTCATCAACACTTTTACATAAATGTTTGTCTGTAAATGATTTAAAACAATTAAATATTAATGTTTTTTCATTAACTGTTAAAGGACCGATTTTTTGTCGTTTACGCGGCCCTTCCAAATTTTCCATGATCATACTAGAATTCACACTGCACCTTGCAAGTTGCAACTAAACGACATTTAGTAAACTGTCAAGAATACACAACTTGGACCTCCTTACTAAATGGAAAACCTATAATCGCATTTTCGGTGAAATTTATTGGTTATTTATCTACTTATAATTCGATTACTGTAAGAAATTTTTGGAATTAAAATAAAACAAAATTGGCAAATAGGTACTTATTGAAAATAATCTTAAGATACGGCTATGTAATCTTTAATACACAGGGCTTTTGGCCTGTCCAAACCTTTTTCTATTGTTCTGTAAGCTTATGTTTATAAAGGACCAATATAAGACCCAAAACTTGTAATAGCTCAGGTACATTTATTACAATTTTAGGAAATATTTAGATTATTCTGTAAAAATATTTAAAATGACCGTACTAAGTTTTGCATTAGAAATGCTGTTTCATTACTCTCTCATACATAAAAATAGACTATACCTGCAGGATGTTTTGCTTTAAAAAAGTATAGATTTGGTCAGTACCTCGCTTATGGAAAATAAGACTAACAAATAGCCAAAAAATCACGTCAATAATTACATCACATCTAAGAATAGAACACTTAAATATTTTAAAATCATAAACTCATAACATTGCACGAATTTGAAATCTTAAATGTTAAAAAATTAATTAACTCTGCTCATAAGATTGTTTTAATTCAAAAAGAGAAAGAGTGTAATATATCTAAAAGTTGGTAGTTGATCCACAAAAAATGTGTCTAAAGTAGACCTTTCAAAAATTGTGTGAGCATACAATTCTTCTTCTTTTTAAGTGTCATTTTGGATTTATTTCGCAGCTGCGCGTAGTTATCACGGCTATGACTTACATTTTTATCTTTGTCGGTCATAGCCTACTTTAGAACCATTTTTTTATAGATCACTCGTTATAATTACATAATTCAACGATAGTCATCATGAAAGACAGGCCAATTAAAGCTGACTAGCACAAAACACTAGTACAAAACACACAGATTCTGTTTTTACCACTCTACCACACTTAAGTATTAAACATTAAGATTATTTTACCTTTGTATTATTTGTTGCAGATTTCAAATATGTAAATGAAAATGGGAACCATCGATAGCGGCACAGAGACTCTTTTCTCCGACGAGTCTCCATGTGAATTGGTGCGGGTGCGCTCGCCCAGCATTTGTTCCGGCGATGATACCGAGGTCCAGACGGAGGACACCCAGTCGATCAACAGCAGGCTGGCCCCCCCGAACATCCAGCCCTACAGCGGCGTTTTGGAAAAGGTAGGAATAATAAAAAAAAATCAGGAACTTTTGTTAAATATCTCGGCAAACGTAAAGGTAACATTTGGAAAGGCGAGACCGAGTAAGACGACAAGCAGCAAGCAGCAAATACTGCCGTGTTAAAAGTGCTGTCGTCGGTCGCGATGTCCTAGATGTTTTTTATATAATTAAATGTGTTTAGACGTAAAGAGACCGTTTTTGGTCGCCTTCGCTGTCGCTTTATTCGGTCTCGATTTCTGAAATGGTACTTTTAAAGCTACAAAAAAGCTGTATGTGGCGTTGAACTTTTATCGATTCCCAAAGCTTTCTAGTCTCTAGCATGTTTTCAATAATTTAATGTAACAGAAATTATAGACCATGGTGAAATGCTGGCACATTATGACGAGTTATAGACTACATAATGCTTATAAATAACATATAGACTATTTCTGCATAGAATCGGGAAGAATTCTATCCTCAAGCACTTTTTGAATAATTTTAAGTATTAGTAATAAACAGAAATTATAGACTATATTGAGATGCTGTCATATTATGACGATTTATAGAACATATAATGCATTTAAATGATATTTTGACCGCCTTTGCATTGATTCCCAAAGATTTCTAGCTTCTAGCACTATTTCAATAATAGTACGTAATAATAATAAACAGAAATTATGGATCAAAGTGAGATGCTGGCACATTATGATGAGTTCTAAAATATATAATGCCTCTAAATGATACCTTGACCCCTCTGCGATGAGACCCAAAGAGTTCTAGCCTCTAGCACTTTTTCAATAATTGTTAGTAATAATAATAAACAGAAATTATATACCTTACTGAGATGCTGGCACAATATGACGAGTTTTGAAATACATAACGCTTTTAAATGATAAGTAAGGGCCTCTATCACTTTTTCAATAATTGTAAGTAATATATGCATGAAGTTGCGGAGAGTTCTAGACTCTTGCACTTTTTGAATAATTTTAAATAGTAATAGTAAACAGAGATTATAGACTATAGTGAGAAGTTTTTATATTATGACGAGTTATTAAATATATTATAATGATTCTAAATGATATCATGAATCTCTTTTCATTGAGACCCAAAGAGTTCTAGCGTCTAGCACATTTTGAATAATTTTAAGTATTAATAATAAACAAAAATTATAGACTATAGTGAGATGCTGTCATATTATGGCGAGTTTTAGAATAGATAGTGCCTCTAAATAATACCTTGAGCCCCTCTGCATTGAAACCCAAAGAGTTCTAGCCACTAGCACTTTTTCAATAATTGTATGTAATGTGATATTTGTTTATTTACAAACAACAGTTTATTTATTATTAATTTATTTAAACATTTATTTTATAACACAACTATTCTAATTTATATATACTTAGAATGTCTTTAAACTGATCCCTATTTATATTCACCACTGTCTACCTACTAATTACTATTTACCTTTACTGTCCATATAATAACTGATTGCACTCTGTTCTTCCACCAATATTTATATACAAATTTCTAAAGTTTGGTGGAGTCTAGAAGCTCGTCCACCAAACTAGAAATCTTTGGAACAGTCCAGAAATATTATCTCGTCCTCTCTCGAATAGTCATCGAAATCACCTCCGCCATAGTCGTTCCATAGTTTTGGTCTTAAGGGGTTTAATTATGTATAATAATCGGACAAGTTGAGCCTCAAAGGCCAAATAAGACAGAGAGGGACTTGTAGGGTTAGAGCATGACTGAATAATGAAATGGCTCACATAACAGTAATAATAATATACAGAAATTATATACCATAGTGAGATGCTGTCACTTTATGACTAGTTCTGGAATATATAACGCTATTAAATGATAAGTAGACTATATCTGCATGGAGTCGTGAAGAGTTCTAGCTTCAAGCACTTTTTGAATAATTTTAAGATTTTAATGGTAAACAGAAATTATAGACTATAGTGAGATGCTGTCATATTATGACGAGTTATAGAACATATAATGCCTCAAAATGATATCTAGACCCTCTTTGCATTGAGACCCATTGTAAGTAATAATAATAAACAGAAATTATATACTATAGTGAGATGTTGGCACACTCTGACGAGTTCTGGAATATATTATTCAGGTTTATAATACAAGAATGAGCCGGAAATATTCAGAGGTTATTTTCAATTTTGGTAACACGGAGAACGAAATTGGAGCAGAATTCTTGAGATATACCTCCAACAACTTCTCTGATAACATCTAAAACGGTTTCAGACAACGCAGGATTAATTTATCTGTGCCGTCTACTATTGGTGCATTTGATTTGATCATCGGATATCTCCGAGCGCTGCAAACGTGTTTGAATTGACACTTCGAGCGATCCCAAAAGTGTTTGTTTCGAGAACATAGAGCGAGCTCGATGTTCTCAGAACAGAAGGATCGGTAAGAGGGAGAAATTTGTCTTTGTCTCTACCTATCTCTTTTTAATTAGCCTACAAACAAACTTGAATCTCAAAATTCGAGATCAAGCAAGAGTCAACAAATTACTTAGCCACTTTTGTCTTATAGTTAAAATAATTCATCATAAAAAAAAATAAAATGGAGTTTGAAAGCGAAGGTATACGAGGTCTGTAAATTAAGTAATAAGACTGGCAACGTTGCGTTTGATCTGGCAACACTGGAAGCGCGGGGCTTAGTGGGGCGGCAGAGGAACATGTGATCCACCTTCAGTACGAGTTTGACCTCGCTCGAGTTATTTGGTTGTGCGTAGCGATTGTTTTTGTGAAACAGTTTGTTCTATTGTGTTCTAAAAATGAATGACATCAATTTCGAGCAACGGTGTGCTATCAGGTTTTGCTTCAGACTTGGGCACAGTGCAACGGAAACTCTTCTGAAGCTTCAGCAGGCCTACAAAGATAGTGTTTTGTCAAGGGCCCAGGTTTTTCGGTGGTTTAAGGCATTTTCAGAAGAAAGAGAGTCGATTGAAGATGAACCACGAAGCGGAAGGCCTTCATCTTCAAAGAGTTTGTACCCCAAGGTCAAACGGTCAATCAACACTTTTACCGAGAGGTTCTTGAAAGTGGGTGTTGCATCACGATAATGCTCCTTGTCACACAGCAATTTCAATAAACGAGTTTTTGGCCAGTAAAAACATTCCTGTGGCTCCTCAGCCTCCTTATTCGCCTGACTTGAGTCCTTGTGACTTTTTTCTGGAGTGGAAGAAATGTCTCCAGCGCTGTGTGGCCTCAGAAGGAAGTTATTTTGAAGGTGACAATATTGAATTGTAATTCTTTTTGTATAAAAAATTTTAAAAATCAGTCTCATTACTTAATTTACAGACCTCGTATGCTGCATTTTAGGGCCATCGCCCCTTATAAAAGTTTTCCATTTTCTTCACTTTTTTCTCACTGTTTTGACACAAACCAGAATTGGTATCACAAAAAAGCGAGGTTATATTTTTTGTTCTGTTTCAAAGACATTACAACATAGAGATAAAATGTTTCATTCATAGATCCCATACAATTGCGGACTGTTATTGTTTTAAAATTGTTAGTGAGTGGAAGAGAGAAAGACAGATGTCTTAGGACCGGCTGGCAATGTTGTAAACAGTGTCCACAATATGCTCGCCAGTGGCGTAGAGTTTTAAACTTACCAGTATTGTCAAAGTAGTATGTTAACAAAATACGTAAATAAGTAGGTATATTTTTTTAATAATATAATTATGATGATTTTTTCATGTAGGTAAATTCAAGTATAAGTAAATTCAAATACAAGAGAATTCAAGTTACCTTCCGATTTTTAATATTTATTGGTTTATAGTTTATTGGCATTTACTATGAATTTGCCTGGTATGATGTTAACCAAAATTATTTAAAATTTTAAATTAACATTAAGTATGTAGGGGTATCTTAATAAAAAAACACTGTCCTAAACATATTTAATTTTTTAATTAATAATTACAAAAAACATGGTATGGCAAAAAATATCGTAAAAAACTCTAAAAATTTTTAAAATAATATTTTAAATATATTATATACCTTAATTTTAATAACTAAAATTTTATTTAATTCTTTTTTGGTTTAGTTATTTGTGTTATTACTTACTGCAATGTTTTTTTGCAGCAGGTGGCGTTCCAAAAACAGTTGAATCAGAACTAAAAACCCATACATTAGATATACATACATATAGGTAATAAATAATGTTTAGAGCTAAACAAAAAATCTGATGTGTCCAACACATGACTTTCCTATCTAGTTATTATAGGCTTTTTCCGGTTATTTTGTACAACCTATTGCAGCAACTCTATAAACGTTTAGAGGATAAACTAAATATATACATTGTCCACATACATCTACCTCGAAACATTTTTCTATAGTTATTCATTGAAAACGAAAATACTGAAAAATTTAAATTTAGCACTTTTCCATTACGGTCCATTTTAGAAAAATCATGTATAAACAAAAATTATAGAGATCGATATCGCAAACAACTTTTAGTTCAACAATTTTCATAAAAATCAGAATTTTGCACATTTTGTCAAATTTCTCGGATACGGACCATTTCAGGAAATTTTGACATAAAACAAAAATTATAGATAATAATATTAGAAGTAACTTTTATTTGAACAATTTTCTTCTCCAAACATAAATAACAGATATATTCCATAAAATATAAAAACTGCCTCCCATAAAGTACCCCCCTAGATGTTCCGACTTTGTCCAAAATCTAATCATTTCACGTCAGGCCGAAATAAACCTTAGGTTTAAAATTTAATGTTTTTTTCTTTATCCGTTTTTGAGTTTTCTTCAAAATTCGAAATTTACACATTTTCTCAAATATCTCGAATACGGTCCATTTTAGAGAAATTCTGTATAGAATAAAAATTGTAGAGAATTATATTACAAATAACTTTTATTTGAACAATGTATAGACTCAGTTTCATGTGGATTAGATTCACCAGATATCATCAGAGTTATATTGTTCTTTATATATTGTCTAATATTTTTACTACAGAATAATAATAGTTTGGATTTCGA